GATTTATTCATTGCTATAACAACACATGGATAATTTTAATCTTTAAATTAAAAATTTCCTTCTTTAAAAAAATGTCAGTATTTATTCCTGAGTTCTTCATTCAGTGCTGCTCATTATATAAAAAAAAAACTGTTTATAACCTAAAAACACTGAAATTAACATGGTTTTGTTCAAAGTTTGAAACCCAAAAATAAATTTGAAAAGTTATACATTAAATAAAGTTATTATAAGCTTTTAGGACATGTATTTAACACTGATTTATTTCTACTCAATTAACAACTACTTGTTCTGTTGATACTTTTAATTGAAATAAATAAATTAGAAAGCAATCATAACAGACATGGGTACCTCCTATGTCACAATGGTGAATAAGATGGTCTTGTAAACTAATTTGCAAGTGTCAGTAGTTTAATCATGATTAGTATTTCATTAATATAGCCTGTTACTATGACTGGAAAAAAAACTACAATAGACAAAATTCACAAAAATGATAAAATGATAAAAGTATGAAGTAAGTGTCCAGAATAATATCTACATAACATTGATAAGAAAAAATACATAACTTTATATTTAGAAAAAAATTCCTAATTATCAAAAACAATACATTAAATAAATTATTTTAAAAGTCATTCCTGCAGTAATTATAGTTTTGCCCAATTGTTTAGAGCATCATGAAGTACAGATTCCATCATATAAGTTATATTTATAAAACATTTACGAACATAGAAATTCTTTGAGACAGTTTTCTAACATGGGATAGTTTAATGGGCATTTTTTAAAAATGTAACAGCAAAAGAATTTTTTTAAAAAATGCAAAAATAAGCAGTCCATCAAATGGGTGATTTTTCTCTTGGCATCACTATTAATGTATACTCCCTGAGTAATTTTCATTATTATAAAAAGCTATTTTAGAATTTTAATAAAACCCAAACAATAAAACTGGATTTATGCTTTTTATTCACAAGATAAATTTTATACTTACAAGGTTATAAAACTACATGAACCAACTACAATGCAATATTTATTATTTACCATATTATAAAGAAATAACTATGAAAACAAATTTTTTATTCATAAATTTATAAAAATGTCTGAACAAGAACAAAAATGTTAAATAAAAACATAATGATGAGTAGCTAATTTTAAATTTTGAAAAAATGCATTTTCCAGGTATTTCTTTCATTTGGTCTTGCAACATAAATTCACTAAGTTGCAAGCATCTGGATTTACCAATTTTTTTTTTCTCAAGAATTGACAACAAAAAGGCTAAAGACTATTTATTTATTATACTGTTTATTACAAGAATAATGTTTAATATTTTTATTGTTAATTCTTGAGAAAAAAAGAGTATACATAAATCCAGTTTTGTGTGTTTATATCAAAATTCTAAAAACAGCTATTTAAAACAATAAAAATTGCCAAGTGAGTATACAGTAAAATAGCAGTGTCAAGAGAAAAATTGTACTTTTGACACTATTTTTTTTTTGTGGGTATGTATGTTAAACTAAGTATATGCTATATAAAAAGGACAGAATCTCCACAGATTCCTGTCAATTTTTTTTCTTTCAACAATACTTGCACATTTGCAACTCCTCAGTCTTTGCGGTACTTGTTCCTCTATCCATTTGCTCAATTATGTCAAATAGGTTACTCACTGCTTTCTTCTACTTCTCTTGCTTTTGAGGTGACATGTGCATGTTAAATTCTACTAGCTTTCTTATTGCAATGTGTGTCCCAGAAATTTCAGATGTTATCAACAGTTTCTTAGATATTTTTCTGCTTAAAAACTTCTTTATTTATCACTTATTTGGTCAACAGTGGTTAATAGAATCATATCTTGGTTGCTCAGTCCTTGTGAGAAAAATTGTCCAGCATTCATTGCCATAAATATATAGCTAGATATTATATTTCTAATGTCATTTTTCAATCCCTTGATAGCTTATTCTTTTCCTAAAAAAAGTATTTTTTGCTATTCCCATGCACTTTTGGATTTCTGTTTCACACTTCAACTGCTACTAAACTACCCAATTGAATTTCCACACCTGCTTGATTGTCACTTATAATAACTCATATGTTGGACCATCCCTTCTGCTCAAAACTAAACATCCAATCTTTTTACAATTTCAGTCATTTCATTTTTCTTTTATCAACTAACTTGTCACATAATTCTTTCAGTTTTCCTTTTGAATTTTGCCACATTTCTGTCAGTCATTTAAAAATAAAGTCTCCTTTTTTAAGAAAAATATGAAGTGTAGTATAATTTAATGATATTTTAAAATGCAAAATACTAATGCTGAAAAATGATTAACAGCAAATAGACAAGAAGGACAGCTTCATATTTATTCCAAAATCATATTTGATTGCCTGTAGCTCACTTGCTGGGCCATCACTTATGCATACAACCATCCATTTAGTCTTCTTATAATTAATGGTAAGTTTTTCTTAACTTGCTTTCCTTGTTTAAAACCTAATAGATTACTCTTTATCTAATAAAGTATTTATCTTATTGGTATTAAAAGAAGTTACATTAGTTTTACCATATTTTTATAACCAAAATAGAGGGGAAAAAGTGGTACAAAGTGCTCTAAAATAGATTACAGCTGAGGTAGTCACACATTCAGTATTAATCTATCACAATTGGTGATTAACTGATTAAGTCAAAGTTTGAATTGATTAAATCAAAGTTTTTCTTTATTATAGAAACAGTCTCTGGTGTCAGTAGAGAATAGTCAATAAAAGAACAAGATATATGAAAGTAAAAAAAATATAATAATCAGGTTGGTATTGGTAGAATATGACACTATGGACATTATAAATTATTTTTTATGACTAACAGTTTACTATGCAAGACAAAAGTTGCTAGACACAACTAGTGATCTTTCTATTTGCATATCATATTTGTCCTTGGGAGCAGCATATTTATGCCATTTATATAATTGAGCTAAACAACTAATCATGTTTGCATTTGCACCTTCAACAAAGTACTAAAACATTTGCACCTTCAACAAAGTACTAAATACTAAACACACTTAAAAAGATGTCCCATCATAAAGCTAATCAGTTTTGCAATATACCATCAATATTTTTTTTTAACTGATTAACCAATAAAAGGCTTTCATTAAATCTAACCTAGTTTTGAATTTGCAAAGGTGCTTTCTAAACATTTGATGTTTGCTTTTTAATTGCACCAAATCTTTGCTAATAATCACCTGTGTCGAAATATGTTAAGAATGCTGCTGTACTTTTTAGCAAGTCCAAGAGGCCATTTACAACATGTTCTTTCATAATGGCTCAAGTATTCTCAGTGGAATTAAGTTCAGGTGCATTTTCTGACTACTTTACAAATCCATCTTGTTAGAAAAAAAAATCAAGCTTTTCCAATCTGTACATAGCATGTGATTGATTTATTTACCAATAAAATTAACCATGAAACTCTAGAAAAAGGAAAGAAGATTTATGACTGTGCACAGATGGCATTGAAAATTTCAGGAAAATTCAAAACCATTTCCACAATTGTCAATACTGTTAAAATCCTTTGTGTTGATTTTGAGAAAAAAGCATCAAACTGTAAAAAAAAAATGTCAGTTTTATTGTGAAACACCTTTTAGTTAAAATGCTGTATTTTTTTAGCAAATTATCTTTGGTTAATAGAAAGTGTATATAAATTTGACTAAAAATACCATTGAATATTAAAGTAATACAGTTATTGAGTGATTCATGAAGAGATAATTTGTGTGTCAGTCTATATGTAGCCATTAGTAAGGATATTGAAACCAACACAAGGTTGGTTATAGTTCTTCCTGGAGTTGTTGAATAACAACAAATAGAAGTTTTATAATCTTTAAATAATACCACAATAATACTCATTATTTAATATACATTTGTTTTTACTTTGATAATAGAAGCAGATAGGCTTTGCTTAGTGTCTGGTTCACCATCCTCCTTGGTCTTTTGAACAAGAGTAGAGGTTTATCCCTTGTTTCCTGCTTAGGAATGGATTTAAAGCCTACTTCAACTCTAAACTTCTAACATCTCTGTTTAAACTCTGGCATTTTATTTACTATTTATTTATTTTTTTCCTCAGTAGGAGTAGATAAGTTCACCTATCATCCAATTCCCACTCCCCCTTGTTCTTTTGAACATGAGTAGAAGTTTATCCCTTGTTTCCTGTTTAGAATTGGGTTTCCAGTTCCTTCTAAAATCTTTTTCATTCTCTCTCACTCCCAGTAGCTACTTGCAGTTTAGTGGCATTATTGCCTTGCTTAGAGGTGAATTGATTAAAAAAATATTTTGCAATATTAAGCAGTTAATCTGCTGGTTATTATCATCAACTATGAAAATATTTCATTATCTTCCATTGACTAAGTATTTGCTTAAATTGATCATTTGATGTACAATGTAAATATAGTATAAAAAACTAAGATATAGTGCACTTAAAAACACTTGTCATAAGCAGACTTATTGTATTATAGCCTACTCTTATTACAAATAGTGCCATGCATTTGCAGATATAGTTCAGAGGTAGAACAAAAGAAGATTTTAAAAGTTTCACTCAACATACTTGTACCATGTTGGCAAATAGAAACTGATTTTGATGTAGTGCAAGAGATTTCCTTCTTCAAAAGTCACTTGTATATTTATAAATATCTTTAGGTATTGTGGATTTTACAAACACATGAATGAGCTGTCATTCAGTTGGAATGAGTTACAAAATGCCTGATAAATATTCAAACTGAAAACAGTTTATGACCATACCAAAATAGTAACATAATATCATATGAGCCATAATACTACTTTAGTGAAATAGCATCTATAATATCTGTGATAACAATTCCATAGAAGTAATAGCACACCTTAGGTTAATGAAATGAAATACAATTGTCAGCTGATATGCCTATCTGAATCCAAGTTTATTAGTTAATATTAAATCAGTCCTTGCAAACTTTACAAACTGCAATGAATATGAAGCATATGCAACAATAAGGCACAAAATTACTTACCACCAATGGGTGCAGCAAATGTACATGCTACACCAACAGCACATGCAGCTGCCAACATTTCACTACGCCGAGATTCATTCTACCAAAGATGAGAAAATATATGAAAGAAGATTAAAAATGACTAAGTAGTTTTAATACAAATTAATTCAAAGAACAATATCAAAATAAATGAAGTGCACCATTATTCCTGAGTTTTTTTTTAACTTACAATTTATCACATTAGCGATTCAAGACATTTTATAGAGGATGGCTGCACATGTTCTCAAAATTATTTCATGCTACACTAATCTTAGCATTGTTGCCTGACTGTGCTGACTCACTTTGGAAAAAATAGGAAATTACTATTTACTAGAAATAAACAACTTTATAGACACTGATTTCTCATGGTTTGTGCAGTACAGACTAAGCACAATGACACCTTTAATACATAACATAATAAAAATACACATATAACAGATCATATATCTATATATCTATGCCAATTTAGAAATAGTACTAAGTATGAGTTAGTTCATAACACAGATACTAAGGACTGAAATTTTACTGTTTTGAAAACACACATGCATCGACAACAGGCAATATCAGTTTTGCAAAGATGTATAAGTACATTTTGAAAATGCATATCTATGTTAACAGCAGGCTATATAATTTTCATAAAAACATAAATCCATATTAGCAGAAATTTTAATTTATGAGATATTAAGTGAAAACGTTTTCTTTAAAAAATAACATATAAAAAATATGTTAGTTCATTCAAATTACTAATAACAAGTAAAAATATTGAGAAAACATTTTCTCAGTATTGACAGTTGACAAAAATATGCTCCTATATGTGCTTGTTTTTTTGGGGTTTTTTGGGGTTTTTTTTAAAATAGAACAGTATATTGTAGCAAAATATTTGAGGAAAATATTCCAAGTTTGATGGCTCTAGTAAATAGTCAAAATTATTTTTTAGGGAATAATACATAAGAAATTAGACTTATACTTATTAATAGACTGCAATTAGCAATATCAGCATTCTTTTTCCTTGTTTATTAATCAGTTTTTGTAATTGGTTATTCTTGTTTATTAGATCACATAAATAAAATTATTTTAGATATAGAATGAATTTAAATTATATACTTATAGTTTTTCATTGCTTTCTTTTTTTGCTAATCTCTACTGAGAGTAATAAAATTACCAATTAATTAGTGCAATATAGGAAGAAATAAAATAGTCTGCAATATTCTTTGCATGAAAGAATATGTATCAATATCCATATAGATCTTTCTATATGCCATATCCTTTTAGGACATAGGCAATCATGGTTCTCCACAAGTTCCTTTCTTTTTTGTTCTCAGCAATACAAACTCATTTACAACCCTGTCTTTGTGGTACCTGATCCTCCATCCACTTGCTGAAACTTGTCAAGTAGGTTATTTACTGCTTCTATCCCTTTGATGGACCATGTAAGCATTAAATTCTCCAAGCCTTCTTTCCACAATATATATCACCCACATTTCAAGTTTATCTTTATGACTATTATCAACAGTTTTATGTAATTCCTTTTCTCCTTTAAACTTTGTCACGTACTTGATTCATGGTATTCTCAATATTTTCAAGATTTTTGTCCATTCATCATGAAAATATCTACCATTCATTGCCATTTGGGAAAGTCAACCAAGCAATCTAACACTCTTTCCTTTAGTTTTAATGTTATTTCTTGATCTCCTAATACCATACACAATTTTTGAAAACTAACTTTCACTATTCTTATGCACTTTTGAATTTCTGAATTCACATTTTGTCATCTGTTACTATACTACCCAGGGTAAATTTTATCATTTTCTTAATTTTGACATCCTCAATGTGTAGCTTCCATGCTGGGCCATTTCTTTTGCTCACAACTATTCATTCTGTTTTCTTACAAGTAAGGGTTAGTTTTTTCTTTTTGTTTTCCTTTACCTGTTTTTTTGTTTGTTTTAAAGTATTCATCTGATCAATATTAAAAAAGTTACATTAGATTTAGCTTATTTCCATAACCAAAATAGAGAAAAAAAAGAATCTAAAATAAATTGCAACTGAGGTAAACACACCTGTATTCATAAATTTCAATAATGGAATAAGAACAGATATTTTCAACATTATATAGTCATTATCAATTTTCTAATAAATATACAACTCTAATCTAAGAACACAATATGAAAGAGCCAAATAAGAAACTATATATATATATATATATATATATATAAAAAGCCAGCAAGCAAAATGTGAGTGTAAAAAGAACAGGAAAAGTATGTGCCCCAGCAAGCTCTTTATTTTTATCATCATTATCAACTATTACTCATTACTGAAGACATGTCTTCTTTTTGAAAATGAAGCAAAATTTTAATTCTCATATCCTCTTTGAGTAAATGCCAAGATACACCAAGATAAAGTTTTTTTTTTGTTTTTATGTTTCCAAATATTAATGTTAATTTTAATACAACCTGACATATTGAGGGTAAATTACTACTTTGATCAATATCTGGCCTATTAAAATCAGACCCAATTTTGCAACAAATTTATCATTTAATTACACTACTTCACACAAGGACACTCATTTAATATTAATTTATATATCTTTCACTTTCATAAGAAATTTACTTATTTAATTATCCTTATATTTACTTATATCACCTTTTCACTATTTGTTTTATTCAGATTATAATTAATAAATATTGGATAGGCTAAAATAGCCCTTCTGTTTTGTTTTTATAACTTTTCAGCTACATTCAAATAGATCACTTTTGACTGTATTATTTTTTTAAATGTTAAGAGTGGCATATTTTTTTTGTTGATTCTCAAACTGAAGATGGAGCAACATTTTCCGCATATTACATTTGTACAGTTTATAGAGAAGCTACAGTATTTTACTGAACATGTCAAAAGTGGATTGCAGAGTTTCATGCTAGAGATTTCTCAATGAACAATTCTCCATCACTGGGTGAACTTGTTCTGGTTGATAGCAATCAAATCAAAATATTACTTGAGAATAAACAGTGTTAAAAAATTGAGAACATACACAAAGTATTCAAGTCATTCACTGAAAATCATTTGTACTAGTTTAGCTATGTTAGTCACTTTAAATATGTGGCTTCCATAAGAAAGCTCCTATGAAATTTATTACTTAATATCTTAAAAATGTTCTACATTTTAAAACAAACTGATGAGTGACAAAGTGAATACTTTATAATAACCAATAAAAGGACAATCTTCATCCAAATGTGATATTATATATATGGTAAAATCCTAAAAAAAGTCCTCTACTATGAGCACCTTCTAGAAAACCAAATGATTAATTTGAACAAGTAATGATCCAAATTAGACTAATTAAAAGGTAACAATTGATAAAGAGTGTCCAGAATTAATTAAGAGAGAAAGGATGTAATATTCCACCTGTATAATACTAGACTGCATGTTTTTTCTGGTGACTGGGAAAAAAGTGTTCACTAATTGTTATCACTAGATACTGCACATTTGGGTTACAATTTACTGTGCCTTTTACTAAATTTTCTTAATGAAAAGAATTACAGTTGAAGACTGCAAAAAGTACCTAGAACACTTCTTTGCTGAGAAAGATAGGTGTTAGGACAGAGATGATGAACAACTGACTCCCAGGTCATGAACTGACCCACCATCAACTTTTTAGTGATCCACAAGGAGTGAGTGAAATGATGTCATGAAATATGGTTTGGCCAATCAAATTTAGCAGTTTTTCAACTTTATTTGTGACTTGTGTATACCTAAACACATCTAGCTGATAGTCAGTTTTAGAGTGTTTTGTACACTTGTGTAAGAAGATTTCATCTCTCTTTGCATTTCATCAGTTGTAGAGTCATCTATTTTTAATGTCAGCTTAGATAATTTAAAAATTGTGATTCTTCTGAATTCATTTCTGATAGTTCATTTTAAACTGTAAAAATAACTCATAAGAATGGCCACAAAGAAAAGGAAAATAAGCTCAGATTTTAGTAGAAGTGGGAGTTTTTTTATAAAGAGTGGAATGAAAAATATGGTGTTATTGAGCAAAATAAAAAAAAGTTTTTGCTGTATATACCAGAGATTAATTGTTGTATGCTCATATAATATTAAGCACTACTTTGAAAGCAATTATCAGAATTTATGCTCAATGATAGATGAAGAAAGGAATGAAATTATTCAGAGAAAAGTAAAACAATAGGAACAACAATATAATAATTTCAAAATGATAAAAACAAGAACAATATTTCTGCAGTCAGTTTTCAGTTATCTCCTACTATTGCTGAGCATGAGAAGCCACTCTCTGATGGTAGTTATTTAAAAGAGGCCTTTTTGAACTGCTCAAATTTTTTGTTTGAAGACTTTCAGAATAAAGAGGAGATCCTCAAAAGAATTAATGAGTTGCCAGTCACTAGAAATATGGCCAAAGAGAGAATAATTGGTATGGACTGATTATGCAACTGATTAACTTATACTAGATTTGAAAAATGCAGGTATGTTTTCAATTTGTTTGGATGAAAGTACAGACATTATATCAATTGTTCATTTAGCAGTTGTTACAAGATTTCCTTCCAGAAATATAATGAAGGAAGAACTGATCAAACTGAGGCTTTCCAAGAAAACTAAAAGGGCAAGATATTATAAATGAATTGAAGAAGGAATTCATTGAACTTGGCATTAAGAAAATTGTATTCTCAATTCTGAGAACTAGATAGTGCCTTACAATTCATCCAATTCCCCTATACTATTCAATTCCATGATCTTAAGCTATTCATGTTTGATTGATTGGATATAAATAACTTGGAACTGGAATTAGTAGACTTCCAAGAAAGGGCAGTGTGAAAGACAAAATTTATCAACCTTAACTTGAAGTTCCAAGAGAAGAAAATCATTAGCCTATGTAAAAAAAGAAAATTAATTAGAACACAGAACTGAGAACCTCATTCTTGAAAATGGGCAGTCCTTGCTTAACTCTGTTGCATCAATGGAAAAGTTGGCCTTAGCAATGCTAACCATTTTTGGTTCTTCCTACTCATGTGAAACATTTTCATCCATGAACAATATAAAATTAACTACCAG